CCCCAAAACCCCAAAACCCCAAAACCCCAAAACCCCACATGAATTAAATATTATTGAAACATCATGGAAGAATGAGAAGTCTCGATAGGGCTGATTTATAGACTCCTTAACAACACTGTTCTTTATAAAGACTGGGTCAAGCACTGATAATCAAGACTGTGTCGGACATGCTTATCAAGACCTCAACAGGCTTCCTCCAAAAAGAAGGATCTCCTACACAAGGAAACGAAGAAATACGAATACTGAGAAAAGATGAGAAGACTCAGGGTTTTCAACAACAAAAAGAAGAAGCACTTACTGATAAAGGTCTGAGAGCATTTTCTGCTACTACCTTCATTGAGAGCAAGAACAAAAAATTTTGGAGTGGTGGGCCAAGACAGATGTCTGATACTCAAAGTACTGGGTCAGAGAAGGATCAGAAGATGCCAAAGGTCTTAAAAGGAAGAGAAAAATATTAAATTCAATTGAAAATATGGGAAAGAAAGAAGGTTTTATTGTATAATAGTTTTCGTGAATGTTCGAGCTAAATTTTTATCATCACTGTTAAGAATAAGTTGGACTCAACTTCTTACAAAAATCTTTCTCATTTCAAACCAGACAATGCTCTATTTACTAAAATATCTTCTAGTCAAAATTCAACCCGCCCACTGTAATTTCTTCCTAAGCTACTTCAGCTCAGGAACGAACTTGAAATTCTTCCATAGAATATCTTAGGTATGAGCTCTCTTCTAGTGAGACTTCACAAGGACTTGGCCAGACTTTGGTTGTTTGTAGCTTCGCTTAATCTAAAGGTCTGGAAGATAGGATAAGCAGGCAGCATGGTGACTGTTTGTAGGTTCAGGCATGGAGACAGACAGAGGGATTTAGTGAGAAGGATGTGGATAGTAGGGGGTATGGAAGGGAGAAGAAGGTATTTGTGGGGTTTAGGAGAAGGGAAGGAAGGAGATGGTGTCTTTTTGGTCTTAGTGTTGTGCTTTTCATTGTTTTTTTACTCGAATTTAGTTGGAGAACAATATTTTTTGTGAGGAAAATAGTATTTAGATGAAGAATAATGAAGAAATGCTATTGGAATTTAGTAGTTAACTAAAGTTACCTCCTTTCTTATCTTCCTATGCACTTTTTTCGCTTCCATTCTTTAAAAATTATTTTCTACTTTTTTACTCAAATCACAAAAACTACCCTATTCCATTATACTCAGAATCTACCTTCTTCCAAGACTCCATTCGCCCCCTTCAAACCTGTCTTCATCCATCTCCAGCTCCCAAAATCCAAAAATTTCTTTGCAAAAGTGCCATTCATGCAAGAGCCTAGCCTGCCAAGCCACTGGCTCAAAACTAGGATTCAACTCTTAAGCCAAGCATGAATTTTGGGAGGGAAAATTAATTTAGAATACAGTTTTTCAATTATTTAACACCAGTGAGGGGTTTTGGGGTTTTGGGGTTTTGGGG